GTCAGCTTCGCAAAACAATGCGGAAGTGTCCGTGTTGCTGATTACAAACTTCAGTAGAGAACTGACACGTACACAAGGTAACATAAGGTAAAATATAAATTATGTTTGCCTTGTTATAGTTACTTTGCTCATTGCATCGTTCACATTTAGTACAGAAATAATGATACCTGCAGACGCGTTAAATAGACACTGACGATCTGAATTTCATTCATTCATCAGTTCTTTCGCTCGCTCGTTCATTCATTTCCTCATTCTTTTGTTCAGTAGGCCAGCAGTTTGTACATAGTTTGTACTAGCATTTTGTACATAGACAGGTGTAAAATTCTAGTCCTGTTTTAGGGGCATATATTCCCATAAATGCATTACTATAGGACAGAAATGCATATACCAGTAGTATATGGGCTTCTTATGCTGCAATCACTGTGCTAACTGTAGTCAAAACCTCTTGACTTGTGGTGATTTGAAGGTACATTTGAATGAATGTCGTCCCCAGACCAGCTTGGTCAGGTCAAAAGAAAGATGGGTAGGCGGAGGAAGAGGGTTGCAATAGGTGATGGAGTACCTAACCCAAGAAAGGAGGAAAAAACACCTGCTCCCCCACGCAAGGAGAAAAAGAAGAAAACTGACATTGGGAAGATGTTTATCAATATATCCATCGGTTTGTGTATCTTCAGTCTCATCTGGTTCTTCTATGCCCTTTATATGCGCTCATCCTTGGCCAGGAGGGTTGTGACCTTGCACCCCTCTCAACGGGTCTTGGATGCTAATAGCTCAAGTCCTGCTGTGTCTCCTGAAAGATATTGGGGTACTTATCGGCCCCAGGTGTACTTTGGGATGAAAACAAGAAGTCCCAGATCTGTTGTGACAGGTGGGGTGCTTAATATTCACACTTTATGCATTATATTTTTACTTGTTTTTGTGATGTTATTACAAGCCTGCCTTTTTCTATTGATTTAATTAGGCTTAATGTGGATGCGTCAGTTTGCTGAAATGGATGGAAATCTTAGGCACACTTGTGAGCAAGGGGACCATTTGCTGGGCTACGGATGGCTGATGCATGACGGAGTCTCTTTTGGAGTCCAGGAGGTACATGACCGTGATTTCACCCTGACCACAGAGTTTGTGAAGCGTATGGGTGGAGATCATGGTGGAGACTGGACTTGGAGGATTACTGCAAAACAACATGTAAGTTAAGAGTAATGCTCTTACAGTTTGTGTGTTTAACTGATTTATTACTCTAATATTGTAAAATAAAAGGATATTTAATTCTAACATTGTAGGAGTATTATAGAACAAAGATGTTGGTTGTTTTCAATGCACATAGGCTGGGGATGTCAGGATTCTCACAGTCATGGAAAACCTGGAAATATCAGGAGATTTTAAAATTGAGGAGTAACAAAAAAAAAAAAAAAACTTAAAAATTCACAAAAAAAGGTCATGGATCTTTCCATATTTTTTACTAGGAAATATTCCATTGCAAGAAATTGCTTCTTATTGTGACATCCTCTATAAAAAAAATTATCCAGGAAGCAGAAATGAAAGTTAAAGTTCAAATCTGTCTATGTTTCTGATTGGCAGAGCACTGCTGCTTCAGCTCCTGTGATCTCGCTGATGTTCTACACAGCTACAGATGTTCAAGGGTCCTTGCAGGCTCATGTAGAGGAGAAAAATCGCTTGAGCACTGTGACTGGAACATCTGAGGAGCTTGGCAACTTCAAGATCACATTTGGCAAGCCCACTGCAGGGGAAGGTGCTAGTGGCAAATATGCC